AGGACAGTGGTTAAAGAGTAATCATCTTTGTACAATTGATGGCCTGCTGCTCTGTGAAGAGATGTGGATGAATGAACAGAGAGGATCTTAACTTGATATGTATTTCCTCTTTCCTACAACCACCCAGCAACTTAGTTGCTTTTATTGTTACTTGTTTTCACCCATTTGCTTCTTCAAGGCTATAATTTTATAAATAAATCGCCCCAATATTTATTCTGAACAAGATGGTCTTGCTTAATGAGTAAAAGGTGCCCAAATTTGTAGAGTACAAGTGAAGTTCTGTAAAATGGAAACATTCACCAACTCCTCAAAATTCTTTCTTTCTCTCTCTCTCTATCTCCCTCCCTCCATGGATTTACATGACCACCCATCTCACATACATGATTCTAGGTGATTTTTGAGGAAGAAATTTCAACTTCAACTGAAACTTTAATCCATCTGTAACAAAAAATACAATGAACACAAAGCAATTAGAGATGGAAGACGCTTTTTAAAAGAAAAATAAGCTTTTTAATTAAAAGGCTTTGTGGCCCCCCACATCCTCAATAGCATTTTGCCAGGAGAGTGCCAGATGGAAGAAGACAACAAAGACAGAACTCGTCCATCTTTAGTAATTATATAGAAGAGGGTCTTTCAGCAGACCCAGCTTCCTGTGAAATCTTGGCTTCTTCACAATTACTAAAAGCGTAGCAGCCTTTTCTGACTATCCTACTTGCCAGTCACACTGCATTAATTGACAATGTCATTGTGATTTTTTTTTTTTTTTCATAAACACACCTATCAAGCTTGGGTAAACTGCACATATCCATCACTCTATTCCCTTTGGAGGTAAGCAATGCTAAACAAAGGGCAGAGAAAACACTGAGAAGACCTCATTGGGATTCTCCTTTAAAAGGGAGTGTGGCCCACTGAATGTAACTGTGCTTGCTTCCACATAAATGGGTAAATGATTGCAACTTAAGAGAGTAACTTAATCCACCAATGGATAGAAGTCAGGACAGCTCTGGGGTGCTGGCAAGTCATCCGTGACAGTGCGGTGGAGCTCAGCTGCACACACAGAGGGACCCACTAGCATAAATCTATCTCTGGCAGAGACAGATTTCTAGAGGAGTAGAGGCCTTTTGTGAACAAGGTAGGGGCAGATCATAAGGGCGTCCTATGATCTAAATCTCATGCTAGTTAGCACTGTTGATCTCTAGCTTCCTTTCTTCTTTCCGATCAACTTTGAAAAAAGGCAAGGAAAAACCACACTTGACCACTTGCAAAGCTAACATTTCATGCTCCAGCAACCTAGTTGAAAACTTCTCCTCTGGAGCTAGTACAAAAATGGTTATCTAGACATCACCTATTTCAATCCAGTTCCAAGTTTATTTCAATCAAAGACCAGGATAGAACCAAACAGTCAACAAACTTCAAAAGTAGAAGAGGAAGGCCAGATATGAAACATGAGCTAAAAGGGTAGAACAGAATATTATTGCCATATTGGTACCAACATAAACTGTGTTGTTTAAACATAAACAATGTTATTTGTCTTAAGTACTTAACATTCAGGACAGAGAGCTAAGAAGTAGGCAAAAGTAAAATCTTTCTATGCATATAGAAGAGTTGTGCTATCTTAAGGAATGTGGGGGTAAGTCAGTGTGGATTTCATCTTGCTGGCAGCTTAACAGAATTTGGCAACATCCAGGTAAGTAGAGTCCGTTTGATCCAAAAAAAGAATTTGTATATAGAAGGTATCAGAATGACTTGGATGTTTTACCAGATATGGGGACTTAAAACAGATTCTAATATCTCTATAAAAGCAAGAATACAATAAAATGTGGGCAGTACATTCTATAGCACCTGAATCACAAGGATAAAATTGGGCAGCATATGGAATTTTTTTGTATCTGCCTTCCAGAATAGTTGAAGGCAGAAGGTTAAATTGAGCCAGTGTTAAGGCTCTTCTCCGTATGAATACCATGATATAATTTAAGAATCTTGCCAGTCTGAAAAGACAAGATTGACTACTCAGGAAAACATTCCTGGGCAGGAGAGACTGGTCTGGTTGTCTGCCCATGTCCAAAGCGCACCGTATCAGAATTCTCTTGGCTTATTCATGTCCAAAGGGGAGTGGAGCCTCCTAGGCATCACCTATAGCAATTTCACTAAGTACTCTGCAACCAAGTCGAACACATTTGCCATAGCAGTAGAATGGGTCCAATCTCTACTTTGCAGCTCTTCCTGTTTAATATTTTTGTAGAACAAATTACTAATAATATAGAAGATTGGCAGGCAGGTTATTACAGACTAGCAGAGTAGATTCTTTATTACAATCAATGACCAGTTCATAAAAAACACTGAATACATACAACTGATTAATCAGTTAGGTAAGCATGTTACACTGCTGTGTATCTTACAGATTACTTGACAGAATTTGGCATATGCTGAAAGAAAGAAAATCACTTGGGTCCGAAAATAAGAGTTGTAAATAAAACTGATCAGAATGACCAGAGAACTTGGTTAAAGGTGGTGTTCATTAAAAGGCTCTGTTGCTCCAAAAGGACAGCATAAAATGAATAATATAATAAAACATGTCTGATACAAACTGTATATTTAGTATCTAGCTGTTCTCATAATTATTTTTAAATTTCATTTTTGTTTTTGTTTTTATTCTCATCTAAAGAATGTTTTTAAAGAAAAGAGAGTGGGGGCTGAAGCTGGAAGAATGTTAGTTAATGCAACTTCAAAACCACAAAACAACTCTAAGCAAAAACTTTTTTTTTTCTTCTGCCAAATGAGAGAGAATAACATGGATTTTTAAAATTTGACAATAAAAACAAGTACCTTGAAATCCCTGAAAACTTAAACAAAAAGCATGGAAATATACCAAGGATTTACTGAGCTTTTAATCTTTAACTCTGTGTTGGTTTCCGTTAAATGTCCTAACTGGGTCACCCAAACAAGAGCATCTTTTCTGTCTGAAAGTCTTGCCAAGATAACATTTAACTGTGATATGCGTCAAGAGCTGGCCTCACCTCTCAGAACCCAGTATTCAGCAAACAGGTGACTTCTTTATGAATGTGGGAATGGCTTTCTTTCCCTGTTCTTAGACCCCCAGTCTTGTGAAGCCAGTGGAGATGGGTCAGGGAACACTGAGTGTCCTTCTGATCCTTTGGGAGCTGGGTCATAAATCAGCCAACAGCAGTGTTATTATTTTACTAGTCAAACGCATGGAATGACGCTAGAGAGCGGGGTTGCCAATGGTAGGGGTGCTTCAGCCGGCCCCAAGCCAGAAATGTCATGAAAATAAGCAAGGTAGGAGTTTGTGGACTAAAGGTGCGTGTCTGTTTTGTGAACTATTGCCAAAACTTAGACTGTAGGTTGCCTAATATATGTAAAGGTAGTATAATGGATAAACTATTACATTTTCAAAAAAAAAAAAAAATCCATATGAGTGAAAGCAATGCTTTGAGAGAGAAACAAGCATGCTCTGCTTGTTTTGTTACGATTTATGGATTTCCTACTTTTTATTAGCTGGATTTCTATTCTGAGTCTCTACTATAATGACAGCCATGATGTTCAGCAATAATATGGTGAACATGAATAATCTTGGATTACATTTTGGGCCCAGCCCAGTTGCTGTAATCATGAGCAAAGCTGCAATTTTACACACGCTTACTTGAATGCGTGTTCGGGTGAAGTAAGTGACAAATATTCAAACGAGATGATATTTGGACTAGCGTTCCTTGGGCAACTATCCAAAGCTAACATTCTCACACTGATACTCCCCTGAGCCTCCTCCCTGTTAAATATTTTTGGACAAGTGTTTTTGCAGTTCAGAGCTGCATCAGCTTCCAGGATATAGCTACCATTTGAATTCTGCCCCCCCCCCCCCCCCCCCCCC